CTCTAATCAGCTGATTAACTCCTGGACATGAGCTACAAATGTCTCATTCCTCAAGTCCAGCCACTCCTGAACCAGTGACATCAGAAATGCCTTACCTGCTGAAGAGACAAAGAACTGGACTGCTGCTCAGTGGTCCAATGTCCTCTTTTCACATGAAAGTAAATGTTCATGTCATTTGTAAATCCAGGTCCTAGAGTCTGGAGGAAGAGTGAAGAGGTCCTGAATCCATGTTGTTGAAGTCCAAAGTGAAGTTTCCACAGTCAGTGATGGTTTGGGTCCATGTCCTCTGCTGGTGTTGGTCCACTGTTTTCTGAAGTCCACACAGAATCTACTTTATTGTCCCCAAGGGGAAATTTGTCTTGGTCATTGTGTGCTAAACAAAGCTTCTTGCACAACTAAATACACTACAAACAATAAAATCATATGAACACCACAATAAAAAAAACCTATTGCTCAATAAAAACACACATAAAACATTCCCACAAACAACCCAGATTCCAAAAAAGTTGGGACACTAAACAAATTGTGAATAAAAACTGAATGCAATGATGTGGAGGTGCCAACATCTAATATTTTATTCAGAATAGAACACAAATCACAGATCAAAAGTTTAAACTGAGAGAATTTATCATTTTAAGGGGAAAATCTGTTGTTTCCAAATTTCATGGCGTCAACAAATCCCAAAAAAGTTGGGTCAAGTCCATGTTTACCACTGTGTGGATCCCCCCTTCTTCTTACAACACTCAACAGACGTCTGGGGACAGAGGAGACCAGTTTCTCAAGTTTAGAAATAGGAATGCTCTCCCATTCATGTCTAATACAGGCCTCTAACTGTTCAATCGTCTTGGGCCTTCTTTGTCGCACCTTCCTCTTTATGATGCACCAAATGTTCTCTATAGGTGAAAGATCTGGACTGCAGGCTGGCCATTTCAGTACCCGGATCCTTCTCCTACATAGCCATGATGTTGTGATTGCTGCAGAATATGGTCTGGCATTATCATGTTGAAAAATGCAGGGTCAACCCTGAAAGAGATGACGTCTAGATGGGAGCATATGTTGTTCTAGAACCTGAACATAGTTCTCTGCATTAATGGTGCCTTTCCAGATATGCAAGCTGCCCATGCCACAAGCGCTCATGCAACCCCATACCATCAGTGATGCAGGCTTCTGAACGGAGCGTTGATAACAACTTGGGCTATCCTTGTCCTCTCTGGTTAGGATGACATGGAGTCCCATTGTTCCATAAAGAACTTCAAATCGTGACTCATCTGACCACAGAACAGTCTTCCATTTTGCCACACTCCATTTTAAATGACCCCTGGCCCAGTGCAAATGTCTGAGCTTGTAGAGCTTGCTTAGAAATGGCTTCCTCTTTGCACTGTAGAGTTTCAGCAGGCAACGGCGGATGGCACGGTGGATTGTGTTCACTGACAATGCTTTCTGGAAGTATTCCTGAGCCCATTCTGTTATTTCCTTGACAGTGGCATTCCTGTTTGAGGTGCAGTGACGTTTAAGGGCCCGGAGATCACGAGCATCCACTAGAGTTTTACGGCCTTGACCCTTACGCACAGCGATTGTTCCAGATTCTCTGAATCTTTTCATGATGTTATGCACGGTTGATGATGACAATTTAAAAGTCTTTGCTATTTTACGCTGGGTAACACCATTCTGGTATTGCTGCACTATCTTTCTGCACAACAATGGTGGAATTGGTGATCCTCTTACCATCTTGGCTTCTGAGAGACACTGACACTCTGAGAAGCTCTTTTTATACACAATCATGTTGTCAATTGACCTAACTAGTGTTAATTGGTCTTCCAGCTGTTCCGTTATATGCTCAATTTCCTTTTTCCAGCCACTTATTGCTACTTGTCCCAACTTTTTTGGGATTTGTTGACACTGTGAAATTTTGAATCAACATATTTTTCCTTTAAAATGTTACATTTACTCAGATTAAACTTTTGATCTGTCATCTATGTTATATTACGAATAAAATATTGACATTTGCCATCTCCATATCATTGCATTCAGTTTTTATTCACAATTTGTTTAGTGTCCCAACTTTTTTGTAATCCGGTTTGTACATTCCAGCAAGTAAATGACGCAACAAATCAGACCAGAGCATCAGCAGCATGACAAAAGACATGTTGTAAATAAAGAATGCCTACTTTATTTAACAATCTGATTAATGTAGGGACAAATGAATTCTTTCTAATCTGTTCAGTCTACAAACAATATTCTAAACCATTTGCCAGATGGTAACAATTTGTATTGTGAGTTGAGGATGGGAGCGGGGTCAGACAGCACCCTCCTAGCAAGTCTGAGGACAGACTCATCATAGATAGACTGCAGGGAGGGGTGGTCAGTCCTTCCTATCACCTTCATTGTAGTTTGTACCATGGGACTAAATTTAGATTTAAGTTGCACAGAGAGATTTCCATTCCACGCTGACATTCCAAACCTGATGATGCTTTCCAATACGGCCTGATAGAATAAAACCATAAGCTTCTGGCTAACCCCAAAGATTCTGAGTCTAGGTCTGAAATATTCCACTCTATGTGTAATGGATCTGAGATTCACTTTCTGACATGATTGAGAAAAAAATTCAACTGTTTCACAATATTCAAATTTTTTGGGATGTATCTGCATTTAGTTACCAATGAACCTAACATGAATGTTTTTGGTCTGTGGGAGGAAACTGAAGTACCTGGATGGAGAGAACATGCACCATCGGTGTCCACTTAAAGGAAAATATACAGGTGCTGGTGGTAAAATTAGAATATCATGAAAAAAGTTGATTTATTTCAGTAATTCCATTCAAAAAGTGAAATTGTATATTATATTCATTCATTACACACAGACTGAAATATTTCAAAGGTTTATTTATTTTAATGTTCACGATTATAACTGACAACTAATGAAAATCCCAAATTCAGTATCTCATAAATTAGAATATTGTGAAAAGCTTCAATATTGAAGACACCTGATGCCACACACTGATCCGCTAATTAACTCAAAACACTTGCAAAGGCCTTTAAATGGTCTCAGTCTAGTTCTGTAGGCTACACAATTATGGGGAAGACTGCCGACTTGACAATTGTCCAAAAGACAACTATTGACACCTTGCACAAGGAGGGCAAGACACAAAAGGTCATTACTAAAGAGGCTGGCTGTTCACAGAGCTCTATGTCCAAGCACATTAATAGAGAGGCGAAGGAAAGGAAAAGATGTGGTAGGAAAAAAAGTGTACAAGCAATAGGGATAACAGCACCCTGGAGAGTATGGTGAAACAAAACCCATTCCAAAATGTGGGGGAGATTCACAAAGAATGGACTGCAGCTGGAGTCAGTGCTTCAAGAACCACCACGCACAGACGTATGCAAGACAAGGGGTTCAGCAGTCGTATTCCTTGTGTCAAGCCATTCTTGAACAAGAGACATTATCAGAAGCGTCTCGCCTGGGACTGCTGCTGAGTGGTCCAAAGTTATGTTCTCTGATGAAGTAAATTTTGCATTTCCTTTGGAAATCAAGGTCCCAGAGTCTGGAGGAAGAGAGGAGACACAGAATCCAAGTTGCTTGAGGTCCAGTGTCAAGTTTCCACAGTCGGTGATGGTTTGGGGTGCCATGTCATCTGCTGGTGTTGGTCCACTGTGTTTTCTGAGGTACAAGGTCAACACAGCTGTCTACCAGGAAGTTTTAGAACACTTCACTGCTGCTGACCAACTTTATGAAGATAGATTTCATTTTTCAACAGAACTTGGCACCTGCACACAGTGCCAAAGCTACCAGTACCTGGTTTAAGGACCATGGTATCCCTGTTCTTAACTAGCCAGCAAACTCACCTCACCTGGGCGGCTATGGCTGAGTGGTTAGAGCAGTCATCCTCCAATGCAAGAGTTGGGGGTTTGAATCCACCAGCAGTCACATGCTGAAGTGTCCCTGGGCAAGACACTGAATCCCTCATTTCCTCTGATGTGTGTCCCATCAGTGTATGAATGTGATAAAGCTCTGATTAGTCTTTATAGAATGATTTGTTCAATTAACTTTGTAGAGATCTAGTAGAGTGCTGTATGGATAGGTCAATGAGGCACAGATTGTGTTGTAAAGAGCTTTGAGTATCTTGATCAGATAGAAAGGAGCTATATAAGTACAGTCCATTTACCATTTACATTAACCCCATAGAAAATCTATGGAGTATCGTGAAGAGGAAGATGTGATACACCAGACCCAACAATTCAGAAGAGCTGAAGGCCACTATCAGAGCAACCTGGGCTCATAACACCTGAGCAGTGCCACAGATTGATCGACTCCATGCCACGACGCATTGCTGCAGTAATCCAGACAAAAGGAGCCCCGACTAAGTATTGATGCTGTACATGCTCATACTTTTCATGTTCATACTTTTCAGTTGGCCAACATTTTTAAAAATCCTTTTTATTATTGGTCTTAAGTAATATTCTAATTTTCTGAGATACTGAATTTGGGGTTTTCATTAGTTGTTAGTTATAATCTTCAACATTAAAATAAATAAAACATTTGAAATATATAAGTCTGTGTGTAATAAATGAATATAATATAAAAGTTTCATTTTTTGAATGGAATTACTGAAATAAATCAACTTTTTCATGATGTTCTAATTTTATGACCAGCAGCTGTAAAGTTCTGGAAGTGTTTTTCAATAAAACTGTCTACAAATACGCTACAAAACCTGACATCGTACGAGCAAATCTGAGGAAGTTTTAATGAGGTCCAAATGGTTGTGTGGGTAAAAAGTCCTCCCAAGATGTTCTCAAGAGAAACATGCAAAATCTAAACATTCAAAATGAGAAACCAAAATAAAAACGTGAAAACTCGGAACTTTATCAGTTTTCACACGAAGGATCCTAAAAACAACCAGAGAACCAGTCGAGGTCAAATCAGTTTTTTCTTTTTATTTGATAAACATGAGAAACAAACATTCTGTAACAAGTTAGCTGAAAAAATGTTGTAGAAAAACATGGTAAAGGCATAATTCAAATATCAGAAACAAAACCTTTATAAAGCCTAAACTAAATCCAACGACGACCTCTGTAAAAAAAAAAAAAACACTCTGTCTTCTTTATTGTAAAGAAATGTTTTCCGCTGATAAACTTATTTAGCTGCCTTTAACTCTGATTACTGACGGAGTTACAACACGTGGTAACGAACCTGAACGCATCGAGGACGACATGGTCGACACGTCCACAATGAAGACAGCTGTCCCTGACATTCTTACACATTTATCTCTTCTGCCAAACAGCTGTGAAATATACAATTCAAGTACAAAAGAGTTAAAACATCACCGCCGCTCATCAGTGGTGACTCACAGGTTGTTCGGCTGATACAAACTGTAACAAATGAGCTTCTCTTTACTTCACTGTTCCCAGACTCTGGTTCCTGATGGAGCACCAGGCCTTAAACACGTCTCTGTGAAGAAGAGACATGTCAGAAAACGGTCTACAAGACGGACAGGAAGACGGAGGAGTGTTTACATACTTGCAGTGAGTGGCCACACATTCATTACTGCAGTACTCTCTGTCCCAGTCTTCGCTGTCCACGGCGGGATTGTTGCAGCCGGCTCTCACACACACGAGCCTCGCTGTGGCTGCTTCACCAGACGGCTTCACCTCCATCACGTCCTGAACCAAACGAGAGGGTAATCAGACAAAACTCCACACGAAGCATTACGATCAAACATCTTGTTGGAAACATTTGGTAAAGCTGACCTCATCTGAATCCAGCACTTCGGTGACGTCGTCGATGACTGGAATGCTCGAAGTCGCAGCAGGATTTACGACGCGCACCGACGGCGCAGACGCAGCTTCAGCATCGGGTAAGATGACCTGTACGGTCTCTTTGTCCTGAATGGAAGCAGGAACTATTTTTATCTGAAGCGGAGGCGGAGGCGTTGCTGCGATGGACACAGCGTGACCTGGGACACCGCCCCCCTCTCGAGGTTTGGCCTGTAAGGGTGGTGGAGCTGGTGCCATCTGCTGGAGCCGCGGAAGAGGAGGTGCATTCTGCATCTGCTGCAGCGGAGGAGGCTGACGGGAGGTGCTGGAGACCAGGAAGGTGGGCTGTGCTGCATGGACCCCTCCTGGCAGCAGCGTGACCACCTGCCCCCCTGCCTGCAGAATGTGCTTTGGGATGACGATCTTGGTGATAGTCTGGGTGGGAGACGCTGCAGGAGCTTTGTTCGCTCCTGCCTGGAACCGAGTCGTCACCTCTGGGACGTCTAGGATGATGCTGGAGGCGCAGATGTTGGTGATGGCGTTCTGATCCACACCGCTGCTGGCCAGAGGCAGGAGGATGGCCTGGTGCTCAGAGGAGGGAGGGACTGGAGAGGTCAGATCAATCACAGGTGGAGGTGAAGGAGGAGACGCCTCCATCTCATCAACAGCAGGCTGGGAGGAGGCAACAAAATAAATGCAAATGTGAGTAAATGAAAATGGAACTTGAAGTCTGGTGCCGCATGTTTTACACTGTTTTGGTTGTCAGCAGCAAACTGGTTGATCCACTCTAAGAAGGTGCTATTTAAGAGACTGAGCTGAAAACAGCACCTCAGACTGAGGAAGTCTCTTGGATGAGAGACGAAACGTTTCTAGATTTTTGTGCTTTGTTTTTTTTTTTTGAATGTCCAGAGGACCAGATTGAACTTTTTTGGATTTTACACCAAGGTCATCTCAGAATACGAAACTGAAGAACCTTGAAAAACAACTTTATAAACAAACATTTAGCGTTAGTCATAAACATACACCCAGTGATGATTTTCTGAAAGTTCCAGTAAATTTTGTTCGGTGGTTCGTGACATACATTGATATGAGTAATGATGTTACCTGCGTCAGATGGCTGGCTTTGTACGCTGCAAGTGCCTTTAAATACTCCTTTTTAGCAGCTTCTGTCTTCCTCTTGTACACCTACAGACAAACTCTGTTAACAGAAACCAGTTTCTGAATCCTTCCTCCTCGTGTTTGAGAAGATACTGAACCTGCTTCTGCTCCTCCGCCAGGCTGTCCCACATTGATGCTACAATCTTTGACACCTCCCCAAACGAGGCGTTGGGGTTCTGGCCTTTAATTGCCACCTGCGTGTCTCTGAAGAACAGGGCGTATGCTGAAACTGGCTTCTGGGGCTCATTGGGATCCTTCCTCCTCCTCCCTTTCTTCCCGCCCGCTGCTTCAGCTGCTGCTGTCGGTGCAGCCAGCTTCCCCCCACCCCTCCTGGCTGCAGCCAGGGAGGGTGAGGTAGCTGGGCAGGAGGACATGTGGGAGAAGACAGAGGAAGAGCAGAGTGACATGGAGTCATCCAGCACACTCCTCTGCGTAGAGAAAAAGAGAGCTTTTATTATGAGAGACTGCGACGAAGTGAAGATTCAACAAGTCTGCGGCTTCTTTAGATCGACAACTTTACTAATTGGCTTTTATCATGTAGGTGAATGTTTCTGTTAACGTGTTATTTATATGTAAATGTTTCTGTTAATGTGTTATTTATATATAAATGTTTCTGTTAACGTGTTATTTATATGTAAATGTTTCTGTTAATGTGTTATTTATATATAAATGTTTCTGTTAACTTGTTATTTATATATAAATGTTTCTGTTAATGTGTTATTTATATATAAATGTTTCTGTTAACTTGTTATTTATATAT